CTCCATCGAAAGCGTTCTGTACCCACAACGCGGTACTGACAATTGCATATGGTTGGGTCTGTCGCCAGGATTTTTTTCGTGAATCCCACGATGGCTGCGCGCCAGATCGCGCCAATGCGGGTATATGGTATATGGTCTATGCTGCCCTGGTCGGACATCACATCTGTACATGGAACGTCGGAGCAAAAATGCGGCCCCGTGGCTCTGGACAGCACCATCGGCAAAGCAGAAACTGACCGCACTGACTGCGATGGCGAAGGCATTACTGGGGAGTCTGACAGCTCCTATTCAACCTTTTCCATCTTCGATGCCTCGTCTGCGGCACCCTCGACTTCCTCGAGGGGGCAGGTCCTCGTCGTCCCCCAGGCCCTCGTCGTCATCGCCAATGCTGAGGCAAGATTGATCATGCGGTGGATTGTTAAATGTTGGGGCCCCTTGAGGCTCTCCTGAGACCCTGGAAGGCCCTCGTGTGAGCTCTCCAGGACGGCCTGGGAGGGCTCGAAGAGGCACGAAGGGAGCTCCGGGAGCGCCCCAAGAGACCCAACAATATTACGCCGAAGAAAAACCCAATCAGTGGATGGCTTGAAAAATTTGCAGGCGCCGAAATTTCGAAGAGGCCCCAAATACCGATTCGGTGTAAGTTTTGGAAGGGTTGTGGCATTCTTGCCTTTTCGGGCATCCGTCGGTTCAAAACGGCTCAAGAGGATAGACGATCTCAGAGGGCTCGTCGACGGCCCAATGCGGTCTGAATACGGGCCCGCGACTGCCCGAAGAGACCGAGCAGACGGCGAAAAGGCCCCCACGACTGCCCACTTAAATCTCAAGACTGCTACACGGGAGCCCAGGACAACCCCGGGACGGCCCGAATGAGCTTCCAGAGGTGGGGTCGCGAGGTACCGGATGTAACGGCGTTTCTCTTATGCCTCTTGCCAATGGCCATTGCCATCAGCATCACCGTGCATTCTCATCATCATCATCATCATCAGCATCATCATCATCACCATCATCATCATCACCATCATCATCAGCAGCAGCAGCAACATCAGCATCAGCATCAGCATCATCATCAGCAGCCGCAGCAGCATCTTCATCTTCATCTTCATCATCACAATATTCGTATTCATAGCCATCATAAGCAGCAGTATCATCGTCAACAGGATCATGATCACCATCCTGATCACCATCCTGATCATCATCATCATCATCATCATCATCATCATCATCATCATCAGCATCAGCATCAGCATCAGCATCATCATCATCCTGATCCTGATCGTCATCATCAGCATCATCATCGTCGTCATTTTCATCGTCATCGTCATCATCAACATCAACATCAACATCAGCATCAACATCATCATCATCATCGTTATCATCGTCGGCACTGAGCCTTCGTTGTCGTCGTCAGAATGTCGATAGTGAATCGATTATGAGATCCATTGTGAGATCGATGGAGCGCTCGATCGAGACGTGAGAAAGGAGATCGATGGCGAGACCGATCGATGAGGAGATCGACGACGAAACCAGGAGCCCAGCAACCCGGGAACCCCGCCGCCCACCGACATCGGCCAGGAACCAGCAGACGGGCACCTGGGAACCCGGAGCCTGGAACCGGGAGCTCAACAGTGATATGGATGATGAGATCGAGGGGTCGATAGTGGGATCAATAGGGTGAGGACGACAGCAGCGTCGATCGTGAGACCGATAGTGAAGTCGATTCAATGAGATCGATCGTGAGATCGCCCGTGCGATCCATAGTGATATCGGTAGTGAATATGTTGTCATATCGATTGTGAGATCGGTCGAGAAGTGGGTAAGGAGATCGATGGTGAGACCGATCGATAAGGAGATCGACGAGGAAACCGGGAGCCAAGGAACCGGGAACCCCGCTACCGAAATTGTCCCAAACGCAGCAAACAGGCATCCAAGAAGCCGGAACCGGGACCCCGTCAATGCAAGCACTGGTTGGGGAGCAACACACATTTGGCACCACGTCCTTGACGAGGAAGCGGCTTGTGTCAAACGTGTGTGTGTGTGTGCGTGTGTGCATTAAATGGTTAGGCCCTCCTGGAGCTCTCCTGCGACCCCCCTAGGCCCCCAAGAGAGCTCACCAGAACGGCCTGGAAGGGCGGGGTCTCAAAAGAGCTCTGGGAACGCCTCAAGAGATCTGGGAACGCCTCAAGGGACTCAACAAGATAACGCAAATGTGGCGCAACGTCGTCTTAAATGTGTTTACTAAATGATACATGCGAAGAAGCGCTTTACGTTAAATGCTATTAAACGGTTGGTCCCTCCTGGAGTTTGCCTGAAAACCGCAAACGCCTAAAAGAAAACACTCCAAGACGGCCCGGGAGTGCTCGATGGGGCGCCAGAAGGGTTCCAAGAACGGCCCAAAAACCCAACCATTTAACACAAATCTAACATTTCGCTGGCCTCTGGGGTTTTCGCTACGTCCTAGACGGCCCTGAAAGCCCCCACGATTGCTCCAGGACGGCCCGAAATGATTAGCCCCAAGACGGCCAAGAGCGGCCAACAAAAAACCCCAAGCCAGCCGAAGAGGGCCCCAGGACGGCCCCAGAAAGGGCCCAGAAGCGGAACCCGCCCGGAAATTCCAACCCGTCGGCCCCAAGACGCCCCCAGGTTGTCCCAAGAAGCGCCCAAGAAACCCCAAGGGGCCCCCCCCGGAATCCCTAGAGATCCCCCCAAATAAACACCATGACCTCCCCAGGAGGCCCCTCAGAGGCCCCAAACTGATTCCAACGCGCCAAGAACCCTCCCACGAGACCGCATAAGCCATCCACGTGGCCTCAAGCCTACAATGCCGTTCGCGGCCGGGTACCCGCGCACAACCTCCAAATCCAAGGGGGAACTATGCGTTCATGGGGTGCCGGGATCGTCCCGAACGGCCTCCGGAGGCCTAAGCTCACGCCCGCAAACCAGATCCTCACTTTTCCTCCTCCACCTTTTCCTCATCCTCCTCCTCCACCTGCCCCTCCACCTGCCCCTCCTCCTCCTCCTCCTCCTCCTCCTCCTCCTCCTCCTCCCGTTCGCCCCTGCGGCCCCGAGCATTCGCGCGCTGCCCAACGCTGCAGCGGGTCTCACGCGCACGAGTTGCACTTGAGGGTGCCCCTACGGCACGCACATTCGAAATTCGGGCCAACGATGAATCCAGATTTCGGGAGCTTCCTGTTGCAGGTGCCGAAGCACTCGTACGCTTGCCAACTGCGCGCCGTGAAGCCGAGGTGCACGCAGTCTGCGCATACAAGTACACTCTCCCTCGTGGAGTGACCACTCTCCTGTCTGTCGCTTATGTGCTCCTGCCGCGGATAACTTCTTCTCGCACGCTGCGCACGTCACTTCTCGCTCAAGCCGCTTCGCCGCATCGGCCACTCTCTTCGCGGTGCTGCCACGCCCCCCGTACCCGCGAAAGCTCCCCCGCACGCCGCGCACGTCAGCGGCTTTCGCTTCCGCCTCCGCTTTCCTCTTGCGGCTCGCTGCCTTCGCATTCGCTTTCCGCGCCGCTTCCTCCCTCTCCTCCGCGCTGTTCCGGGAGAGCCTCTCCCCAACTACGTTGCGCTTCTTCTGCGCTTCCGACATTGCCGCCGACTCGTCAAAAAGTGACAGGCACGCGTCGTTCGAACACCGCACTGTTCGAACGGCCCCAAAGGCATCCAGAAAAGCTCAGGGATGGCCCCGAAGAGCCTCGAGCCCGCTCCAAACAAAAACCCAAGACGACACCAGAAGGCCCCAGGACAGCAATAAAAGGTCCCCGACTAGACCACGGGGTCGGCGGATGTGGCGTAAGCCTATATAATCTAACACCTCGCCGACTCTGACGAGGACGCGGCTTGTTATACATGTGTGTTAAATGTTGGGCCCTCTTGAGGCTCTCCTGAGACCCCGAAATGCCCCAGAGAGAGCTCTCCACGGTGGTCTGGGAGGGCTCGAAGGTGCTCCTCCTTCTCCTCCTCCTCATCCTCCTCCTCCTACATAGAACATGTGATGAGGATTCTGACAAAGAAGCACGGAGCGACGATTCCAACAGATACTTGTCAACCGCTGCGAAATCTCGGGGAGAGGGCGACCATTGATAATTCATGCACTTTGTGTGGTGTGGCCCCAATGGATGCGCTTTGGGGGGGGCTCTTCGGGCATCTTCGAGGTGCCGTGCAGGAGAGCACATAATCGAATCGATAGGTTGGATCGGCGATCGAAATGAGTCGGATCGGCGGACATCGGCAGCCGAATCGGGAAAAGTCGAATCGGCGGAAATCGGCTGTTTAGTAAGCCTCCAGTGGAAATTCGGATCCCAAATCGGCATTCCAGGTCGAGCCGAATCGGCATCGGCAGCGGCCGAAATCGAATCACATGGCATCGGAGGCATCGACACGAGCCCTGCTTGGGGGGGGCCTCTTTCGGGACCCGTGGGGGCCTCGCTTCGGGAGCCTCCTGGCAACTCCCTGCGCTCGGCCCGGAACCCGGAAGAGGCCTCCCGTGTCGGCGCGTGCCCTCCTCGGCTACACGCAGGAGTGACCCTGGGTAAGAGTGACCTCTGGTGCGCGACTTTTGGGGGGTCGCGGGGGGGCCAAACCTTGGCGCGCAAGCAGTTGCTACTGCCTCGTTTTTAGCCGTCTGGGGACCCATCTGTGCCCGCACCAAGGTCACTCCGGCGAAAGGTCACTCTTACGTCTAATCGACCTCCCTGGGAGACCGCACTCTGGGCGCGCGACCGGGGCCCCCTGGAGCCGTCCCGGGAGCCTCGTCGTGGGCCAGATCGGAGCACTCTGGGGCCGTGGCTTGGCACGGCCCAGTAGCTGTGGTACCACCTCCTCCTGCTCCTCCCCCTCCTGCTCCTCCCCCTCCTCCTCTCCCCCCCTCCTCCTCCCTCCCCCCTCCTCCTCCTCCTCCTCCTCCTCCTCCTCCTCCTCCTCCTCCTCCTCCTCCTCCTCCTCCTCCTCCTCCTCCTCCTCCTCCTCCTCCTCCTCCCCCTCCTCCCCCTCCTCCCCCTCATCTTAGCACGGCCCAGTAGCTCTGGTACCTTGAAACATCGATGCCTGCCCTGCTCACCCTCCTGCCGATGCCGAGACATCGCCAGCTCGATGCCTAGGCATCACCAGGTCGATGCCTAGGGATCGGCTGCGCCCAGCTGCGTCCATGGACGCATCTCTCGATGCATGCGTGGGCATACCCATGGAAATGCCTGGGCATCCGAGGCATCGACACGGCCATGCCTGAGCATGCTGCGATGATGCGTAGGCATCCAGGCTGGGGGATTCAAGGTGATGGCTGGTAGCAGAGCGAGCGGGCCGACCAACGCCGTATGGGCACCCTCCCGCAGGGCATCGTGGGCCGCTTGGGGGCGATCCTCGGGGACCCAAGGGCGGTCGTGGAACGCGGGGCGAGCGGAAAAGGAAGCTGGAAGAGCCTTGAGACAACCTGCGGACCACGAAATTTGGTGCGTCGGGGCTGTCGGGAAGTGCTGTTTCCCCCCCGAGGACCACCGAAAAAACAAGGATGCGCGCGGCCATGGTGAGAGCAAGACTCCAATCTATAAGTAGCACAACTATGCCGACCGCCACAACAAAAGAAACTAACTACATGTTTGATGTCACTCTGGCCGGGCTGATGCAGAGCGTGTATCGATCGGCGTATCGGCATGGCTCAAATACTCCACGCGACCTCGAATTGGCACGTGTGCCGACGACAAGGCGGAAGAGCAGAGGCGCCGCCAGAGTGGCGAACGTTGGAGCAGATATTCTGCTGAAAACTGAAACCAGCAACTGGAGGAAAAACACTCCGTGACCTTGAAGATGGTCTGGGCTGTGCTCGCAGAAGCATGTATGCCGATTCAGGCGGGATGTGTCTATGTAGAAAAACTTAACCGCCAGGGGTGCTGAACACTCACCTGCGACTGTTGCCTTGAACGGACATGCTCATGCTTGTGCCATTCAGAGTCAGGGGACCCTGTATGGTCCTTGCCCCGATAGGTCGCGCGCTGGGTTTTGCGCATACAGCCTGACCAGGTGATCCTTGCCAGCGCGCTGGGCGAGCTCCAGACTAGAGCACTGCTCTCCGCCACGGTCACCGTGCCGCGCCTCTGGATCCGCACCCGCGCTCATCAGCGCCATGGCGACGCGCAGCTCGCCCTGTGCGGCGGACTCGCGCACCCGCTCTGCCCAGTCGTCGGTGCCAGGAGCGAAGTCGGCGGGAAGTGCTCCGAGGACCTCGTTCGCTAGCCCAGAGCTGAGGCACTGGAGCGGGGACTGACCCTGCTCGTTGGTCACCTCGACCCTCGCGCCGTTCTGAACCAGCAGCTGGACGATGTCCTCGCTGCAGCCCAGGCGGATCGCGGCGCAGAGCGGCCACTCGACGCGCGGCTCCATGAGCGGCAGCCTGGCCGCCTCCGGGTCCGCCTCGAGGGCCGAGCGCACTCGCCTCCAGCAGTTTCGCTCCAGGCCCGACAGCAAAGGCCCCTTGCTCGCGCGCCTCGCGGGCGGCGACACCGAGGGCACTCTGCGGCAGCGCGGCGTGCAGGGTGGCGTCTCCCAGGCGGTCTGCGCCCCTGGGGGCATCATCTCGCTCCACGATCTGTCAGGCACGGGTGTGCAGTGGAGGCAACCTGGATGGGGTGCAGAAGGTCCCATTAGACAGAATGGCGTGACCCCAAATTGCTTGGGTCAAAATGGCTGCGGGCGTTCGTGGAAGTGCTTCTGGATGCCTCCTGGGGCGGCTTGCAGTTCTCCGGCCTCTTGGGGCCTCGTGGGGGCCTCTTCGGGCCTCCTGGGGGCATGTTGGGACGGCAGGCTCGAGTTGTCCTTTCGGGCTCCTGCTCTCGGGCCCCTCTTGGGGCCGCCTTGGGGCCCTCTTGGGCCTTCCTGGGCGCCTCCGATGCACTCTTGGGGCCGGCCGTGCTGGGGCCTTTTTTGGGGCCTCTTGGGCCGTCGTATGGGGCGGCCTTGACGGCATCTCGGGGCGTCGTGGAGCTCGAAACGGCGAGAACCCAAAAACATTGAAACACCTGAAGACTATCATGGGTGTATGCCTCTTGGGGCCCTCTGGGGAGCGCTCGTCGAATCCTCTTGGGCCGTCTGGGGGCATCTTGGGACGAAAGGCTTGAATTGTCGCTAAGGGCTCCTGCTCTTGGGCCCCTCTTGGAGCCGTCTTGGGCCCTCTTGGACCGTCTTGTGCGCCTCTACGGCACAATTGGGGCCCGCTTGGGTCGTCTCGGGGCACGTTTGGGGGCCTCTTGGGCAATTTTGTTCACGGGTTCGGGAGCCTCTTGAGGCGTCGTGCAGCGTCGGAAGCTCGAAAAGGCGAGACCTCACACGACATTGAACAATCTCAGGGGCCTCATGGGAATTGCCTCTGGGAGCCCTCTGGGGAGCGCTCGTCGAATCCTACTGGGCCGCCTGGGGCATCTTGGGACGGAAGGCTCGGATTGTCGCTTCGGGCTCCTGGTCTTGGGCCCCTCGTGGGGCCGTCTTGGGGCCCTCTTGGGCCGTCTTGGGCCACTCCAGGGCCGTTTGGGGACCTTCTCTGGGACCGTCTTGGTGCACTATCGGGGGGGCATCTTGGTTTGTCTTTGGGCGGCCTCGTGGGAGAACCCCACAAGCATTGAAACATCACAGGGGCCTCATGGGAACCCCTGGAATCACGAGGAGCGTTGCGGACACAATTCGCTCGTCGACCAGTCGGCAGCCAGAACCACACTGGACCAGACCAGCCCCCTCCATCACCATGACCACTCCTTCTCACCATGCTCCTCCCCCATCCGTCTCAGCTCTCGCGCCCCTGCGCCTTTCCTCTGCCTCGCGCTTTTCTCGTACGCCATGCGGCTGTTCCCGCACATGCTCCTCCGTTCTCCCCTCCTCCACCTCCTCCGGCCCGATTTCCCCCGCTTCACCTCTGCCTTCTCGCCGTCCTCCCTCGTCCATGTCCCTCCTCATCCTCGCCTTGCAGCGCTACAATGTGTTCATTCGCCGCCATGCCCAACAACATTCCCTACACCTCCTTCCCCTCGTCACTCAGGCTGCCCCCCCGCACTCCTCAATGTGTTCTCCTCCACCCTGCCGTTCTCGCCTGACATTCCTTCTCCGTCGTCATCTCCCATCCTCGCCGCCAATTCAGAACATCCCGATGCTGCCCCCTCATCCTCCTCACGCCCTATCCGTCTCCACCTGCCCCCCCCTCCAGTAATCTACTCGTTCAGCATCCCCGTCCTTATCTCATCCTCTTCCTGGTCAAGACCTTTCTCCTGCTCATCCTCCTGATCCATCTCCTCGTCCGACCTCTCCTTCAAGCTTGTCCTCCTCGCTTTTCGCTGTTCGTCCTCATCCATCGTTGAAAGTCGTTACCTCGCATCCCCACAGTCATTCCTGCGTGTTCATGTCCCATCCCTCGTCCCCCTTCCCTCCGCTTCGACGTCGTCGCCCGCCTCTCTTCAGCAGGCAGCTCAGGGGGGAAATGAGAGGGGGCAGGCCTGCTTATATAGTATAGTTCGAACGTCCCCTGGCTTTCTGTGGAGTTGTCCCGGAAACTCTCAGAAGGTCGGATGGCTTCTGAGAAGCTCAGCCGCCCTCTGAGAAGGCCTCCACCCTCTCACTTCGCCCCCTCGCTCGCAACCGATCTATTCATAATCCTCCTGCGCATCATCATCATCAGTACCGTCATCGCCATATCCCCACGTCATAAACTTCAATATCAACAACCTCACATCAGAATCGCCATCATCATCATCATCATCATCTATATACCCCTCATCCTCACCACTGCCATTAACATGATCACCCAACATGGCCCCCACACCTCCCTTTGAACCATTGCCTACGATGCGCGGCAACCCAACCAACACATTTTCCGTTACGCACTGCAGCCTCCGAGGCCCGATGCCGTCGGTCGCACACGGGAGCCGAAACCAACCACTGCAGGTCGCACGTGGTCGCAAGCTGCCTCGTTGGAAGCATCCCCCTCGTCTTATGCCCTCCCCCTCCTCCCACGACACACCTTGCGAATCAACGGATAGGGAATCCGGCGAAAGAAGAAGAGGGAGGACAAGGAAACTGAGAGTTGGAGTACGGGGGAGGACGAGTAAGAGGAATAGGACGGTGACGTCGGCCTCGGCACTCCCAAGCCTTCGAGGACCATTGAACCCATCGAGCAGAAAACGTTGAGAGCACGGCGGTAGCACCGCCCCACAGACCCTCCCTCATCATCATCATCATCATCATCATCATCATCATCATCATCATCATCATCATCATCATCACTATCACCATCACCATCACCATCACCATCACCACCACCATCACCATCACCATCACCATCACCATCACCATCACCATCACCATCACCATCACCATCACCATCACCATCATCATCATCATCATCATCATCATCATCATCACCACCATCATCATCATCATCATCATCATCATCATCATCATCATCATCATGATCATGATCATGATCATGATCATCATCATCATCATCATCATCATCATCATCATCAATATCATCGAAAGAGCGTGTTCTACCGCTGCTGGCGGAAAACCGGGGGGGGTCACTACAGGTTCGAACCCCTCCCCCCCCCCCCTCCGGAAAACCGAGGGGGGGTCACTACCGGTTCGAACCCCTCCCCACCCCCCCCCAGCTCATCATGAAAAGGGGGGGGGGTCACTACCGGTTCGAACCCCCCCCCCCCCCTCGAAAACCGAGTGGGGGTGCGGACAGTGGTGGGGACGGTGTTGGTGGGGACAGTGGTGAGGGGACAGCGGGACAGTGGTGGGGACAGTGGGGGGACAGTGGGACAGTGGTGGGGACGGTAGTGGTGGGGACAGTGGTGGGGACAATGGTGGGAACAGGGGGGACAGTGGACAGTGGTGGGAACGGTGGTGGTGGGGACAGTGGTGTGGGGACAGTGGGAATGAGGTGGAAACACTGGGACAGTGGAGGGTACAATGGTGGTGGGGACACTGGTAAAGGCGGTGGCGAGGACGGCGGTGGGACAATGGGACAGAGGTACAGTGGGGACAGTGGTGGGGACAGTGGGGACAGTGGTGGAAACAGTGGGACAGCTCAGTGGGACAGCGGAGGAGTCAGTGGGACAGTGGGGACAGTGGGGATAGGCAGTGGTTGGATCCGTGGAGACAGTGGGGAGATTGGAACCGTGGTGGGAACAGTTGTGGGAACAGTGGGGACAGTGCGACAGTGGTGGAGGCACTGGTGGGGACAATAGGGACGGTGGTGGAACCAGTGGGGACAGTGGTGGTGAGGACAGTGGTGCTGGGAACAACACTGGGGGATGTGATGCGAGCGGTGGTAGGGACCGGGAGTCGTTTGCTGGCGGTGCGTGGGGGGGGGGGGTCGAACCGGTAGTGACCCCCCTCCGGTTTTTTTCCGGATCCGGAGGGGGGGGGGGGGAGGAGGGGTTCGAACCGGTAGTGACCCCCCCCGGTTTTCGAGGGGGGAGGGGGGGAGGGACGGGAGGGGGGTGTTTTGCCGAGGGGGGGGGGAGGGGTTCCAGCAGGGGGGGTGGGGGATTTTCGGAGGGGGGGGGGGGGAGACCCCCGGGTTCCGGAGGAAAAGGTTGGCAATTTTCCACAGTAAAGCGGCGGTGGATCACGCTCTCTCGTATCATCAGTAGCATCATCATGTTCATCATCCTTATCAGCATGTTCATCATCACCACCACCACCATCATCATCATCATCATCATCATCATCACCATCACCATCACCATCACCATCACCATCATCATCATCATCATCATCATCATCATCATTATCATATTCGTGTTCATTGTCATCATCGGCATCATCAACATCGCAATCATCATATTCATCATCAGCATCGTCATCATCATCAGCATATGAATCATCATCATTTCAGTTTCAGCATCATCATCTGTATCATCACCACCATCATCATCAACATAAGCTTCAGCATACTGACATTCATCAGCATCAACATCATATTCGTCAGCATCACCACCATCAGCATCATCACCAGCATCAGCATCAGCATCAACAGCAGAAGTTTCATAATCATCACCACCATCAGCATCATCATCAACATCATCATCATCATCATCAACAACATCAACATCGTCATCATCATCATCATCCTCATCGTCATCAGCACCATATTAGCATCATCAGCAGCAGCAGCGTCAACATCAACCTTAACATCATCATTATCATCGTCACCGCCATCAGCATCCTAATCATCATCAGCATCGTCATCATCGTCACCATCATCATCATGATCAGCATAAGTATCGTCATCGTCATCGCCATCATCTTGATCGTCAAAATCATGGATGTCATCATCATCAGCACCAGCAGCAGCGGCATCATCAGCTGCATCATCGTCACCACCATCTTCACCGTCGTCAACATCATCATTATCAGCATCATCATGCCCATCATCAGCATAATCATCATTATCATCGTCATCCGCATCATCAGCGTCGTCATCATTAGCATCGTCATCATCATCATCATCATCATCATCAGCATACTCATCAACATCAGCAATATCATAATCCTCATCGTCATCATCATCGTCATCACCATCGTCAACATCATCATCATCATCATCATCATCAGCTTCAGCAGCATCATCATCATCAGCAGCATCTTCATCATCATGAACAGTAGTATCAGCAGCATCAGCACCAGCACCACCATCAGCATCAGCAACATCATCGTCATCGGCATCAAC